CACCTCCTATAGGAGTCTCCACCACCCCCTCCCCATTTAGACTCCTGTAGGAGCCTAATCTTTCAGCTCTAACTCCCACGGAGTTACCTCAAGAGCTAAGACTCCCACGGAGTCCCCCCTCCCCTCTCTCTCTCTCGCCCCGGCCAAATACGCATCTTTCCTACCTTCTAGCGTTGAGTTCCTCCGCATCTCCTGTCCTATATTCCCTAGCGTTGAGTTCCTCCGCATCTCTTTCTCTTCCTTCCAGCGTCGAATGCTTCCGCTCTTTCCTCTCCCCCCTCTTACAACTTCTCTCCTCTCCCCACCTTTAACTCCCAATCCCCCTTTCAGCGTTGAGTTTCTCCGCTACTTTCTTTCTTCAGCGTTGAGTTTCTCCGCTACTTTACTATTTTCAGCATTGAGTTCCTCCGCTACTCTTTCTATATTTCAAAAACATCACTCACCAATCTGACTCCCAAGGAGTCTTCCCACGTTCTGACTCCCCCGGAGTCCTGCTCAGCCCACCACCTACAGGAGTCTCCACCTCTCCCTCCCTTCCCAGACTCCTGTAGTAGTCCAATCCTACAGCTCTAACTCCCACGGAGTTGACCTAGAGCTCTGATCCCCATAGGTTTCTATTCTTTACCTTTCCAGCGTCGAGTTCCTCCGCATCTCATGCTCTCTTCTTCCCAGCGTTGAGTTCCTCCGCATCCTCTTTACTTCCTTCCAGCGTCGAATGCTTCCGCTCTTCTCTCCACCCCCTCTACAACCCCTTTCCCCTACCCACTACATTCCCCTTTCCCAGCGTTGAGTTCCTCCGCTACTTTTCTTCTTTCAGCGTTGAGTTACTCCGCTACTTTCCTATTTCTAGCTCCAAATCCCTCTGCTACTCTCCTTTCTTCCGTTAGGCTCCCAACCCTGCCTCCCCGAACCCAACTCCAACAGAGTCCCCAGCCTCTCCTAAGAATCAGTTTCAACTTTTCTCCTGCAGTAACCTATCTCACTTCAATTTACATTCAGCAGCCGGATATGGCACTGACCTCTCGCCTTTTGGGGGGCACTTCAATACGCGGCTGCTGTCCCGAGATGAAAACCTTTGCCTTTTGGGGAGTTCTCGAGACCTACCTGACCTCGAATTCCCCTCTCGCCCTTCTAATGGGAGGGAGCCCCGGGCTCGAGGATATTACGAGCTCAGGGCTCTCTCCCGGGACAGCATGCCAAATACGCTTTATTGATTATCAGCTAAGTGTGAACTCTTGAAGTGTGGTTTATTCATAAACTAATTTCGAGAGGATCACGTGCTTATAATCAACACGGCTGGCTCCTTGTTAGCTCCGTAATCAGCCCTATTAGATGATTACGGAAGCATTATAAATAACCTGAGTTTTCCACTCCAGTTATCTTTGACTTGAAGCTCCCCCCCTTCCACCCCTACATCCTCCCACTTTTTCTGATCGGGCGACACGGTGGCCCAGTGGCTAGCACTGTTGCCTCACAGCAAGAACACCGCTAGTCCAACCCATCGGGCTGGTTGGTGTTTCTGTGTGGAGTTTGCATGTTCTCCCCGTGTTCGCGTGGGTTTTCCCCGGGTTCCCCGGTTTCCTCCCACCGTCCAAAAACATAAACCATAGCCAATCGACTAAAACAAATTATCACCCAATACAACCTGAGTTTACACGTCTCACGGTGACAAGCAGGGGAGTTCTCGAGACCTACCTGACCTCGAATTCCCCTCTCGCCCTTCTAATGGGAGGGAGCCCCGGGCTCGAGGATATTACGAGCTCAGGGCTCTCTCCCGGGACAGCATGCCAAATACGCTTTATTGATTATCAGCTAAGTGTGAACTCTTGAAAGAAAGAAAGAAAGAAAGAAAGAAAGAATATTTAAATGTGAGAAAGAAAGAAAGAATATTAAAATGTGAGAAAGAAAGAATGAAAGAATATTAAAATGTGATAAAGAAAGAAAGAAAGAATATTAAAATGTGATAAAGAAAGAAAGAAAGAAAGAAAGAAAGAAAGAAAGAAAGAAAGAAAGAAAGAAAGAATATTAAAATGTGAGAAAGAAAGAAAGAAAGAAAGAAAGAAAGAAAGAATATTAAAATGTGAGAAAGAAAGAAAGAAAGAAAGAAAGAAAGAAAGAAAGAAAGAAAGAAAGAAAGAAAGAAAATTAAAATGTGAGAAAGAAAGAAAGAATATTAAAATGTGAAAAAGAAAGAAAGAAAGAATATTAAAATGTGAGAAAGAAAGAAAGAAAGAAAGAAAGAAAGAAAGAAAGAAAGAAAGAAAGAAAGAAAGAATCTTAAAATGTGAGCAAGAAAGAAAGAAAGAAAGAAAGAAAGAAAGAAAGAAAGAAAGAAAGAAAGAAAGAATATTAAAATGTGAGAAAGAAAGAAAGAAAGAAAGAAAGAAAGAAAGAAAGAAAGAAAGACTCATAATAAAGTCACTGCTAAGATGATAGACAGATAGACAGATAGACAGATAGATAGATAGATAGATAGATAGATAGATAGATAGATAGATAGATAGATAGATAGATAGATAGATAGATAGATCTGCAAAGTCACTGACACCATCTCTCTGATTTTAACACAAATCTTCAGTTAACTCTGTACAATGAAAAGAAAACACAATCACACAATCATCATTCATGACTAATCAACCACATTTCATTTTGGACATTTGATAAAGATCTGTTCAGCGTGTACTCCGGAGAATAACAATACACCTACACAAACCAGCAGACTGATTCAGTCCAACTCACTGCCATTGTGTAACATACACTTGTGAAGGAGCAATTACACTTCCACTAACAATTAAAAGCAGTTATGATCTCCACTCATCAGTCTGCTGAAATAGCCATGACCAATCAGACATTTAAAACAAAACCTGAACATGGCAAACAAATTCAGACTTCATGACAAAAAGCATTTTATAAAAAGATTTGACATGAAAAAACGATGATGTTCAGTCCTAAACTCAATAGAGAAGCAATGTAGCAGCCCCACACCTACACAAGCCAGAAGGCTCATTCAGTGCAACTCTGATTGTGTAATGTGTGAACATGTGCTTGAGAATGGACTGATCTTAACTCAATATGAGGTGCGCGTTGTAGAACAATGAGAGCAGCTATGTTCTCCACTCATCTGTTTGCTATAAGTAATCCTTCAACATTAGATCATTCATTCATTCATTCATTCATTCATTCATTCATTCATTCTCCTACAGCTTACTGCCATAATCATCAGGGGTTGACACTGCTAACATAGGTTTTACACAGTGGATGCCCTTTCAGCCGCAACCCGGTATTGGGAAAAACCCATACACTCTCACATTCACAACCAATTTAGTTCATCCAATTCACCTATAGCGCATGTCTTTGAATTGTGGGGGAAACCCATGCAAATACAGGGAGAACATGCACACTCCACACAGAAATTTGCTTAACTCAATCATGCAAACTCATTTCCTTAATTCAGTAACCATAACTTTTTTTGTTTTAAGTCTTTCTTATGAATACACTCAAAGAACTGATTACTGCTGCTTGTACCCATTTAAAATGAGCTGAAACAACACAATTATTGTTGTTTTTTTAGCCAATTCATTTGTTTTACGTTCATTTCACTTAAATTTGTAAACCATTAATTTAAATGTTTTGTGTTGAGACAACATGAAGGAATTGTGTTGGTACAACTACCTGGTCATTTGTAATTCCCAGCATGCTTTGCGTGGTATTAAATTAAGAGAGGGAAATGTTGACAATAAAAGTAATCTTAGGTGTTTAAAGTTAATAGAAATATTTAGTTTGAAGATTTAGAAGATTTATATGTAATGCTTTAAGTTTTGAGAGTACTACCTTGCAGAAGCATCTATTATTTGGGTGTTGGCAGCTTAATTAGCAAAAATGCAGTCTTTGTTGCTTTTGATCAGTGAGCAATAACTGTCCTTAAATTAGTTCTGAGATCAGTCTCAATCGACTGTATAACTCATCAAAACACGCTTAAAAATTGCTCTTTTTGTTCATTTAGGATAACATTTAGGATAAAACTTAGACACTACGAAATGTACGGCACATAATAGACATACATGATATTATCAGACCTTTGAGTAGAAGTTAAATCAAATACAAATGTATTTAAACTTTTGTTTAATAAAATCATGTTGGACCAACTCAATTGCATTTAATTGTGCAAATAGTTTTTTCGTGCTAAACAAATTTATAGGATGGAAATCCTGCCCTTAATTAAATTGAGTTCATCCAATTTGTTAGTTTTTTTGTGTTTATTAAAAGCATTCCTTCCTTCAAAAAAAAGTTCTGCTGCTTGTTCAAACAACTCATTTAAAATGAGCTGAAACATCACAAATCTTGAGATTTTTGGGAACAACTTAATTGTTTTATGTTAAATTTACTTAAATTTGTAAAAGCAATGAAGTTATTCGGTTTGTATTGAGACAAATGTGTTGTAATGACTTAGTAGAGCTTAACAATTTTTTTTTACAGAAACCTTTGTAAACCCCAACATAGCAAACTTAAAGACTAACTAACGTCTCCTTATGTTAATATTGATCACTTAAATGTTTACATTATTATTTTCTTATTACAGTCTGACACCACATGCTGGGAACTAGAAATCTACAATGTAAGTATAACTCAAGTTCAACTTAATTTATTCTGATTTTTAATTCAACTTGTTTCTTTTAAGAGATTAGATAGATAGATAGATAGATAGATAGATAGATAGATAGATAGATAGATAGATAGATAGATAGATAGATAGATAGATAGATAGATAGATAGATAGATAGATAGATAGATAGATAGATAGATAGATAGATAGATAGATAGATAGAGACAGGTATAGCCTTATTCAAAAAATAACAACACAGCAGAAAATTCCGTTGGATCTGAGATGAGGGGGAGGCTCCTCTGTGCCCCACGAGCTTATTAACGGCTCTGTGATTCCCTTGTAAAAACAGAAAACAGCGAAAACATGAGGGAGGAGCGGACGGAGAGCAGAACGGTGGGGGTTTCTTACCATAAACGTAGTTGCTCCGCACGGAGGTCGCGAGAATCATCGTGAAGGCCGCGAGCGCCCGGAGAGCTGCCCGCTGGAATGACGGGAATGCCAGAGTCTGACGCGCGCGCATCCCGCTCATCCGTCCAGCACGCTACAGCCAATAGTCCTCTTGAGGCCCGGAGAAGTGGAGAAGCTCACTGAAGCGCTGACTGTAAGAAAGGACACACACACACACACTCATTAACAGACGGAGAGCGCCGATTGGTCGCATAGATGCTGAACACACACACACTTCACTCACGCGCTGCCCCAGTGTTTCCATTGATCGTCTCGTGTCACTCAGTGTGTATGTGTGTATGATGTGACGCAGTGATCGAAAACATTCCTGTCGTCACTCGGTAACCCAGAAAACCAGTCCGAACCGACAAATGATACGTAAAAGCGAGCGCGGAGCCTGACAGGAATAGAGATTTGTAGAGTTCTGCCTCCCGGTAGCCTTTAACACGGCTCTCATTATTCTCCCGCTCTGACTGCTGCGCGCGCGAGGGGAAGGTGCACCTGTCGCCCGTTGAGGATACAGCGCGACCGTGGACGCGCGCGCACACACACACTAACACACACACACAATACTCCAGGTCGCCCATTCCTCTCTGTTAGTGCGCTTTGTGAACTGTGCAAGTCATGGCGTTGCCTGCGGGGCGGGCGGCCGATCGCCGAGAGATGCTCTGTAATGTTGTGCAACTATAGAAGAGGGCTGTCAAACTGAATGTGTGCGCGTGTGTGTATGGAGCAGTGAAGCCTCGCCTCATCTCAAACCGATGGGATGAGGTGATGATACCTGCTGCAATTCAATAACACGCAACCTGAGACGGAGCCAGCAGCATCCCTCACTCATCATCGGCTCTTCTCTTGCACTTCTCTTTATTTCCATCCCTCACTCCCTATGAGTACCAGTCCCAACCGGGACGCCCCACCGAACCACGGAAAACAGTAGCAGGTGCACACAGTCCGAGCGCGCTGAATGCAGAAGGAGCGGCAGGGATGCTAGTGGAAGGAGGGGAGGGGAAACGCGAGGGGCAAAGCGAGCACCAGCGCATTAACAGTAGCCTAAGCACACTTTACCATCAGCGCTCATAGTTTTACACCTCCGAGCTCGCGGATTTGTTCCCGGTGCGCCTGGCGCGCGCGCGGATGCAGGCGCATTCCAGAGCACGAGCGTGTCCCTATTTACAAACCTGACAGGTGTCCCCCCCCACCCCCCCACCCATTCCGTATAAGCGCCGGGACGCCAACGACAATAATGCCCCTGCGTGTCTGTGAGCTCAAAAGGAGGGCAGATTACGATACTCACCGATATAAGCGCTCCTCGTGATGCCCGATGGCTCCGTCGGTTCAGGAGTGTTGGAAGCGTCTGTGCCTGCTGGCGCTCACGCTAAGGTCCCAATGGATCTGTCTGTCTTGGTTCTCGTTCCGCCCTCCGCTGTCTTCTTGTTTTTCTTGCCTTTTCCTCTCTCCACGGCTACCGTTCACTGCAGCAAAACAGTCTGTCTGAAAGCACGGAGAAAGGGAGGGAGAGGAAGTGAGGAAGGGAGGGAGGGAAGGGGCAGGCGCGCGGGGCGGAGGGGGAGGGGTGGGGATTTTAATACGATTTGGCCATACCATTTGAATAACAGGACCAGACCATACTGACTGAGAGAGTTTTGTTATTATTATTGTTATTATGTTGTTGTTGTTGTTGTTATAAATTGTTGTTGTTGTTGTTGTTGTTGTTTTGTTTATAACAATATCCTGCATGAAGTTAGTGGACAATCGGTTTTTACAGTAGGCTAATCCCATGAAACTTCGTTCTATTATTGTAATATAACTTCTTTATTGTAATATTAAGAGTTTTAACTCATTATTTCTTCGAATAAAAAAGTCAAACAAACAAATAATCATTAATCATAAAAAATTAAACTAAAACAATCAATACAAATCATTATATTCTTTATACAACGCATTTATTTGCCTAGTTAAAGTTATCATGGTCTAATTGGTCACAGATGTATTATATATTTAGTATATAGGGTTTGTAGCTATACTTAAAGTTTATAATAACAAAATTACAAACAATAAAAATATTATATAATAATCGGTGTTGTTGAGTATAGGTCAAGCATAAATGGTACATTAAATTAGTAACTTTAAAACACTAGCCTATATGTGCTAAGAAACAGAGTGTTCCTAGTGTTGGCTGTTAAAGAAATCACATTACAACCAAGAACACTGAGTAAATGAATGGATGAATGAATGAGTGTATGAATGAAATAGTGAATTAATGTTTAAATGAATGAGTGAACGAATGAATGAATGAATTTATTAACTGATGGAAAATGGCAAATGAACGAATTAGTGAATGAATTAATAAGTGAATGAATCAATTAGTGAATGAATAAATTAATTAATTAATGTCTAATTGAATGAATGAGTGAACACTCAAAAACATTTTTTTTCAAACTAAAGTAAAATCAGCTGAAACAACACACTTCTTGACATTTTATTGGGACAACTTAATTTTTTATGTTTAATCCACATACATTTATTAAAAGCGTTAATTCAATCAATTTCTGTTGAGACAACATGAATAAATTGTGTGGAATCCTACAGTGAATGAATGAGCGAATGAATGGATTAGTGAATTAATAAATGAGTGAGTGAGTGAGTGAGTGAGTGAGTGAGTGAGTGAGTGAGTGAATGAATGAATGAAAGGTTGAACTAGTAAATGAATAAATGAATCAATAAATAAATTAGTGAATGGTTGAGTGAATGAATGAATGAATGAATGAATGAATGAATGAATGAATGAATGAATGAATGAATGAATGAACAGCCAGCTTATGCAAAACATTTAGGGCTAATTATAAAGTCTATAATAAAAGGAAATTGATTAATTACATTTGAATTGTGTATCTATTTTATTAAATATATACAACATCCCGGTTTCATTAACGAAAGGTGAGGGAATCACAAAAAGTCTTTGTCTTAAATGTCATAATAATAGGCCTATTATTCTAGCATATTTTAGCATTATTAGCATAAATAAAAAAGAAAAATGTCACTTTTAATTTTCGTGGTGCTAAAAAATTCTCCATATTCTCTACAAATCCTATTTTCATGTTGAATTTTAGGGGTGAAGTGTGAGCAGGTCAGGGCAGTCTTTTCTGGAGGTTCCCGCTTGTGCAGGCTGGTGGCGGCGCGAGGTGTGGTCTTGTGAATATTGAGTCCCATCGCGCGCGCGCCGGCCTCTGGAGACCCGCCGGCTGGAGAGCATGGGAGGAGGGGAGGGCGTTGCGACTCGCGAGAGGATTTAAGGATTAGTTCTGCACGCGGATTACTCGCTGTGCGGTGCGGGGGACGCGCGGGGTTAAACATGGACGACTGCACGAGAGGCAGATACCCCGAGAGAGCAGCGACTCGGTCACCGTGGCGGAGGCTCGAGCAGCCAACCGGAGCGTCGGGGCGGGACACTTCCGGCCCCAAATCACTACATAAACACTTGTGTTGTTTAATGCCACCACCATCCCACAGTCCGTCGACTGTTATTCATTTCACAGAGCGAATAAACCATGACACAGATTAGACAGTGGAAAATTAATCTCTTTACGCGGTAAATAAATATAAAAGATACAGTGTGTTTGTAGTGTTATCAGACCGGCTCGTGCGCGGACATCTCCATCACACTGAGATACGGATGAAACAGTAGTTACATCTACTGGTCAGGAGACTGTACTGCGCGCATTCCGGCGTATTCCCAGAAAGCGCCCGCATTACATCATTGCGCGTCGATATATTTAGACAACTATATATCTGAGTCTGCGAAGTGCGGTCCCTCAGTTTCTCGAGTGTTTGGAAACAGAGCCCGAGCCCATTTGCTCATTTAATAGAGATGCTGACGTCATCCTCCGCAGAGCTGTGACAGTCCACGCGGTCGAGCGCGCTCGCCTGTGACCTGCGCAATGCTTTTTCTTCGACGTGAGAGTGTCCAGAAGCGCTGAAACGCACACACACACTCACTCACACGAGTTTCCCATCTGCCCAGGAGCAAGAGGGAGGCAGGGAGATGGGAATGAGATGAGCAGAGCGTCTCAATTATCAGCGTAATAACTTGCTGAACATCTAAAATCAAACACTGCATTAAAATGAGCTCTCTCTCTCCCTCTCCTTCTCTCTCTCTAATATCCAGTTTCCTGTGGAGAGGAAGGAAAAGAGGTAGATGAACAAGGCTGGATGGGCCAAAATCACGTATGAATTGCAAAATTGTAGATAGAATCTCAAAGCAGGATGGATGGCGCTGGTGAAATTGCCTCATGTGGGCAGATGAGAGCATGAAAATGAGCTCAAAGTGGATAAATGAATGACCAGGAAACTCTCTGGTTGAAAATTCGCACCTTGGTTTCAAATAGGCACGAGGAGGTGTTCCCTGGAAGAGGACTTCCTGTAGAGTTTGATCAGGTATAGTGCCGAGGTGAGATTCCTCTCTATTTCTGTGCCATAATGACCAGGAAGAGCCAATCACACCATTCGCTGGAAAATCAATAGGACACTGATGTCTCTCTCCATCTCTCTGGCAGCCTCTCATTCTTTCTCTCTCTCTGGCCAGTGCAATTCAGGGTAATTCTCTTCACGTTAGAGGGACTTTATTGGCAAGGCCATAGACAAGTATATTACAACTGAACTGATTTGAGAGGGCAAAGGGGACAGGAATGCATTAAAAAGAAAAATGGCATTTTTTACTGTATTCGAAGTGTAGGATAAAAGGGAGCATTGCGCATCTCTAAACCACTGCATTTCTCTCTTTAAAGCTGTAATTTTCTTTTTATTTGAAGGGGCTATAGAACTGAGCAATCACTGTTATTAGCGACGGATATAAAGTGAACTGCAGTCAGAAACTTATTGCTCATGCTTGCACACGTAATGCCAATCAATGCCTCATATACTCACAGCAAGGAGTTCTCCCTTTGGTTAAATATCTTGCTGCTGTCCACTCTCTCTCTCTCTCTTTCCTTTAAAAAAAACACATGAAAAATGATAACAGGGAGAAAAATCAAGTTAAGAACAGCTTTAATCATATCTGCGCACACACACACACATACGTATACATATACGTATATATATATATATATATATATATATATATATATATATATATATATATATATATATATATATATATATATACACTAACTGACAAAAGTCTTGTCGTCTATCCTAGTTGTAAGAGCAACGAATAATAACTTGACATGTAGTGGATCAAAAAAGTGTCAGAAGGTCGATTTTTCTGATGAATGATCTGTTAAACTGCATCACAATCATAACAAATACTGCAGAAGACTTATTGGAACCTGCATGGACCCAAGATTCTTATAGAAATCAGTCAAGCTTGGTGAAGAAAAAAATCATGGTTTGGGGTTACATTCAGTATGGGGGTGTGCGAGAGATCTACAGAGTGGATGGCAACATCAACAGCCCGAGCCATCAATCATTTGTGCTGCTCATTACATTACAAACCATAGGAGAGCGCAAATTCTTCAGCAGGATAGCTCTCCTTCTCATACTTCAGCCTTCACATCAAAGCTCCTGAATGCAAAGAAAGGTGCTCCAGGATTGGCCAGCCCGGTCACCAGACATGAACATTATTGAGCATGTCTGTTATACAAAGGAGACGACTGAAGATGAATCCAAAGAATCTTGATGAACTCCTGCAAGAACGCTTTCTTTGCCATTCCAGATGACTTTATTAGTCAGTTATTTGAGTTATTGCAGAGATGTATGGATGCAGTCCTCCAAGCTCATATGAGTCATGCACAATATTAATTCTTTATCCACTGCACCATGACTTTATATTCTATACTGTACATTATTTCTGTTGTGACAAAACTTTTTACTAAGCAAAGTCAGAGCTTACTGTCCCAATTAAATAATTAAAAATCAAGGCATGATCATATTTATGTTGGTAAAATAAGCGTAATCTAGGGGCCTTTGCCTTTCATATTAGCCACTCTGGATACTGAATGATCAACTAGAAGTCAAGTTATTGTATATGTTTAGATTGATATGTTCTGTAATGTAAGACATTGGTTTGAATTATCGTATAAAACGTAAACAATAGCTTTCATTTGGCATCATCCTGAACATTATACACAAATGTTTCATGTGGCAATGAAAAAAGTATTAATATGCAACAAATCCTACATATAAGCCCCTTTAAAGGTGGAAACAGTCACACGAAGGCTTTTAAACTGAAATAATGGAGGGTCCTAAATGCACTAGAGGTTTCATTCACAGAAATGCAATATGTATTACATCCTCTGAACAATATGCATTATTATGCACTATTAATGCATTATGTTTCTTAAGAGGATACTATTCTGCCA